CAATGCACTTCTCTTATGAACGATTTTCTTGCTATTTTAAAGCTGATAGTTCTCTTATAAAAGCACATGTCCGCGTGCTCTAGTCAAAAATGCCCACTGTGTGTTTTCTTGTTGAGTTGTGTCAAAGAGTTCCGCCAGAAATATCTCCTGCACTTCTCTTATGAACGATTTTCTTTCGTGTACACACTTGGTGTCCGCTGCAAGCAACATAGAATGTCCAGAGAACGGTCACTCATTTTCAGTCAGTCTATCGTTGATCAAGATGATTCATCGAACTTCAGGTGTACATACTACATTTTAGTCACATATTAAAAAGAAGAACGAACAAGAAAAAAAGATGTGTAATTACACAATAGCTCTTTCTTAAACCATATATGGTCATATATTTACCTTATTTCCATATACCTTATTTGGAAGCGGGCACACTTATATTTGTAAATTAATTCGGGCTATAAATATGACCATCGGTATAAAGTGAAAACCATCAAATTATAAAATTCGATATTTCTTCTCTATTTTACTTGATAATATGCCATCAGTTCCGGACGACGACACTCCTGCTATTGTTCTAGACAATGGATCGGGTATGGTAAAAGCGGGTTTCTCAGGCGAGGATGCGCCTCGCGCTGTGTTTCCTGCACTTGTTGGACGAGCTCATTATAGTTGCATTATGCCTGGGATGGGACAGAAAGATGCTTATATAGGGGACGAAGCTTTAGCAAAAAAAGGAATACTAACAATAAAATATCCCATTGAACATGGAATTGTCACAAACTGGGATGACATGGAAAAAATCTGGCATCATACATTTTACAATGAATTGCGTATTGCACCCGAAGAACATCCCGTATTATTAACCGAAGCACCGTTGAATCCAAAAGCAAATCGAGAAAAAATGACTCAGATTATGTTTGAAACATTCAATACACCAGGTATGATATTGAATGCTTTAAGATTTTTGTTTCACATGACTAGCTGAGCTGGTGATACTATTTGTTTGCTTTTCTTTTAGCAATGTACGTTGCAATCCAAGCTGTTTTATCACTATACTCTAGTGGACGTACTACTGGCGTTGTTTTGGACAGCGGCGATGGCGTCACACATACAGTTCCTATCTACGAAGTAATTATACCTTTATAAACAACAAATATGTTCTGTAAGGATCATGACGTTTTATTTCTATAGGGCTATGCATTACCTCATGCCGTCACTCGGTTGGATTTAGCTGGGCGTGATCTAACAGATTGGATGGTTCGTTTATTAACCGAACGAGGATATTCGTTCGTTTCAACAGCTGAACGTGAAATCGTGCGTGATCTAAAAGAAAAGCTATGCTATGTTGCTCTAGAACATGAACAAGAATTGAACAGATCAATGACATCAGCATCAATTGAAAAGACATATGAATTACCGGATGGACAGATAATTACAATTGGAAATGAACGTTTTCGATGTCCAGAGACGTTATTTTCTCCGGCATTGATTGGTCTGGAACAGCCAGGCATCCATGAAATGCTGTATAACACTATTATGAAATG